TACACTCAAGCCACCTTTCCATCGCTCGAGTGATAGGTCGAATTTCTGGAATTTCCAGATTTGAAGAACAAGGCCCCAAGCTTGATTTTAACACTTAAATGCATGCACGACTCACTCAAACATGCAAGAACACTCCCAAATACATATAATTGAGGCCCAATTAATTATATTTAATTTTGTCATTCTGAATCAGATTTTTAACCAAACTCCAAATGGTTCCATATATTAAGTTAAACATATTTCCATTATCAATTTTGATTTCTCAAGTTATTTGGGCCTTTAATTTCTAATCAGACTTCAAATTTCCGTCAATAAATTGCATATTCAAATTGGACACCCCATAAATAAATTTAATTCGTAATAATCACAATTCTCAATCCTCATAATTTAATTAACTTAATTTTCTCCAATTCAGACCTAATTAATCGGATCTCAATGTTACTAAACTAAATTGAATATTTAATTAAACTCCCAAATGGGTCCGTAATTAAAATTAAATTGACTCAACTTCTTAATTTCACTTCCTTAAACCATTTGGACCCTTAATTTCTAATTCCAAAATAAATCTTTAATAGAATCATATACGAGTTAGATTCCACAATTCTCATAAACCCAAATTAAATTATAATACTCGGCAATTAAATTTCAAATCTTCTTAATTAATTAAGTACTAATCATTATACGTGGTGGAATCGTTACACAACCTTAGCTTGGCCATGCTCTAGAGATGCCGATGTAACTCAGCCAAGATCTTTACCTCGGTCATGAATCACATTCTTAACTCGCTTACATCGGCCCATAACTTAAGTCCGTCTTATCTGAGGACTTCATGGCCCGGTTGCTAGGTCAAGAACATGGCCCAAACTTGATTTTGGGCAACCTGTCTGAACCCTGCGCAACCGAGCTAAAACCACTCATCTGTGCGACCGAAATAAAAACCAAGCTCATTTGCACAACCGAGCTAGAACCGAGGTCACCTGCACAACCGATCTAGAACCAAGTTCATCTGAACAACCAAGCTAAAACCGAACTCGCCTGTGCAGCTGAGCTAAAACCCAACTTACCTACATGAACGAGCTTGAATCGAGGTCACCTGCACAACCGAGCTAGAACCTGGCTCATTTAAACGACTAAGCTAAAACCCAGCTCGTCTGTGTGACTGAGCTAAAATCGAGCTCATTCGTGCGACCGCACAGTTACTTATACTCAATTTTGATTTTCCACCATGCAGAATCCTATGAGACCAAGCACACCAACACAAGTGCTCTCAAAGGCCAAACAGTCGCTATTCATAACTAGGCCAACACATTTCACCGAACAAATCAAATTGAGCTCTATGGGCGCTATCGCTTCCTAGTAAACACGCTGGGCGAAATGGCTGAGTTTCGCAAAGATTACGGCATTCTAGCCAACGTACATTTTGAACTCGACAAGGATGAAATCCTTCCTTAGGACAGGGAGAATACTTGCCCCTTCACCGTGTTGTCCACAGTAGAAAAGGGACTTCGCTTCCTGATACACTTCTTGATCTGTGAGTTCTTAAGGCAGATCGAGTTGTGCCCTACACAAGTATCTACCAACGCTCAGCCATACAACAGATGGTTTTAATTGGTACCTAAAAATAAGAGCATGTCGTGAACGCATGGTAACCGACACTTCGGACAAAGACTTGCACGATGACGACTTCTTTTGGGTAACCAGTAACTATGAGACTGCTGATGTGCTTGGTTGGTACATAAGTAAAAATAAAGATTCAACAAGTAAGCCAAATTCAACCTGTTAAATTGTTTGGATTCGTTATTCCGAGCCAACAACTTTTCTTTCGTCGGTATTGCCAAGCTACAAACCTTGTATCCTTACCCTGAACGAGGACGCAGTGAGGGTTGTGCTAAGATACAAGAAGCGCAGCTACCACGATCTCCCCGGTTACATGCTGAGCTACTAGTATTCAGTGAAGCGGAAAAGAAAAGTCACAAATTTCCTGTCTAAACATTCTCCTCTGCTAAATCCAACTCTCCTAGACGTTTCACTTATCCGTTTAACAGAGGAAGAAGAAATGGCGAAAAGAAATAGAATCAAAAACCTTACCACTGCTACCTCTTCTGACCCACCAGCCAGCTCGTCAACGTCCGCGCTAACTACCGATCAAGGTTCAGGAACCATGTTGGCCTTAGCCTCTACCACCGTCCAATCCACCAGCACAGAATCCCACCAAGCTAGTAAGAGGACCCGTACGAATGATGGTTGAGGAGGTTGAATCGATGCCTACCTGGCAGCCTAAGCTGAAGCACTAGCAGAAGGACATCCCGACGAGTGCTTCCATTACTAAAGACGAAGAGCACCTTCTCGCCTTTGATCTGACTAAGGTGTTACTGATGTCAACCGACATGACAAAGAGTGACCACATCCCAGACACTCGGATGGTCAAGTCCATGGTGAAGTCCATGGCTAGGATAAGTGTTCTTACAAAAATTGTTTAATTGTTTGCTCGATCTTTGCCTTCTAACATTTTCTTCTTGTAGGAAATTCAGAAGACCCATCTTGTGATGGACCAAGTTGTGAAGTTGCGGTAGAAAGTGGCTGACACAACTGCGTAAGGGAAGTACTTTAAAACTGAGCTGGGGCGAGCTAAAGCTTCATTAGAGATGGCTAACGCTGAAAATACAAACTCCTCGGCTAGTTTGGTAGCGCCAAGCAGGAAAGGGGTACGCGCCGAGCTGGAGAAACTGAGGAAAGAGAAGTCTGACGCTGAGAAGGAAATTGAGGACAAGGGCTTTAAAGAAGCCGAAGAGAGCTATACTGTCATGACCCAAACCCGTCCCTATGGATTAGAGTCATAATCGGCCAGTAATCATGTGATTACCTACGGCCTTAGTCAGAAATCGAATCACATTTATTAAATAGGGGGGCCAAATTGCGGAAGCAAAATTTACAAAGATTGTCCAATGAGCTGTGCATGCATGGCTTAACCAAAACATTCTCATATTCATATAATAACTCACACCATACAAACATTCATATTATGTATGTATTACATACGTCCATGATCATTCAGTAATCAGTATTAACAAAACCAAGGTTATAGAGAATTGGTCATACGTGACCTCAAAGATCAAAAGGACAAGTAAAACAAAAGTAAAGCCTCTTGCGTGAGGCGACCTTTGTTGACCTCTCAAAAGTTGGTTTCTCATTGCTCACTGAGGCAGGGGCTGGACATCCCACTGCTCACCTATAAACAGTGAGTTAGCGCCCAGTGAATAATAAAAAAACAAAGGAGTTCATGAACAAGATTCTTATAATCACAATTCACTATTACGCTTGGTAGTCGATGTTAAAGCAGAACGACCTCAGGTCTTTTCCATCATATCCCAAACACAAAATGACCTTGGGTCCATGTAGCATACAGAACGACCTTGAGTCCATCATAGGCAAAACGACCTTGGGTCCAACTTACGTACAGAACGACCTTGGGTCCAACTTACGTACGGAACGACCGTAAGTCTAATTCATATACACATTTGTGTGCACACATTTAGATCCATGGTCATATACATATTCATCCCCACACGACCTTAGGTCCATTCAAGTTCTCATTATGAACGGCCTTCGGCCCCATTTAACAATTATGCAGAACAGCCTTTAGCCCAATCCATATCCTTACTGAATATACTGACTGCCTTAGGCCCATTTCATATCCATACGTTGATCGCTTCGCATATTTCATTCCGAATTAAGTGATTATAATGCTCATTCATAATATCACTTTAAAAGTTTAGAACCTTACCACATAGGCATCGTTTAGAAAATAATGCATATACAAAAATATTTTTGCTAAGATATTACTCACAGTGTTCTGGTGCTTGATTCGTTCTCGTACTTGACCCTACATAATTCATAACACTTGGGGTCATAATGCAATTTACTTTCATGGGGGCGTTTGTTTCATGAGATTGAAGTGTGGGATTGGACTCTATGTCCAATAAATTTACTAATTCATCGCTTAGTTAGTTTAGCGAACGTCGAATTACAAGTCAATAAATTTAACAATATATATTGTATTACAGTTCGCTCTTATCGTGTCCTTCTAAATAAATATCCCATTAAAGTAAATTACAAATACATACTCAGATTTTGCTTAAATAAGAATTATATCCTATAATTTTAGAAATGATAAGTATCCCTTGTCAACATTTTTTATTTAATAAATTAACAAAAAAAAAGAAGAAAAAATAACCTATTAGCAAAAGTTATAAAAATAAATTACAAACCAGTAGTAAATTTTACAAATACATAACAAAGCAAGTTTTAAAATTTTTAGGTATGTATAATAATATTTTTTAGTATAATAATTTTTCAAAACAACACAATTTTTATATACCAAAAAAGTTATCTAAATAGTATAATAATTTTTCAAAAAAATACAATTTTTATATACCAAAAAATTATCTAAATTATTTATTTAAATATATTTCTAGTCGTACAAAATACATATACCTGAGCTAGAAATAGAGGCGAAACCAAAAACCCCTCGCTCCAAAAACCCGTCAACCTGTTCGTCTGCCCTAATCAAACCCTAATCCTCATACAGAGCCATGGCCATTACGCGTTCCGGCAGAGGGCGCTCCTTCCCCGTCGACAACCAGCCCTACCCCGCCACCAGTGGCCGTGGCCGTGGCCGTGGCCGTGTTCGTGGTCGTGGCCGTGGCCGTGGCCGTGGCCGTGTCCTTATCCGTCACCGATCACCCTCCCTACCCTCGAACCCAACCCGAAATCATAACAATGAAAGTTTTAAAATTTTTAGGTATGTATAATAATATTTTTTAGTATAATAATTTTTCAAAACAACACAATTTTTATATACCAAAAAAATTATCTAAATAGTATAATAATTTTTCAAAAAAATACAATTTTTATATACCAAAAAATTATCTAAATTATTTATTTAAATATATTTCTAGTCGTACAAAATACATATACCTGAGCTAGAAATAGAGGCGAAACCAAAATCCCCTCGCTCCAAAAACCCCTCATCCTGTTCGTCTGCCCCAATCAAACCCTAATCCTCATACAGAGCCATGGCCATCACGCGTTCCGGCAGAGGGCGCTCCTTCCCGGTCGACAACCAGCCCTACCCCGCCACCAGTGGCCGTGGCCGTGGCCGTGTTCGTGGTCGTGGTCGTGGTCGTGGCCGTGGCCGTGTCCTTATCCGTCACCGATCACCCTCCCTACCCTTGAACCCAACCCGAAATCAACATCGACAGGAGGAGGAGGAGCCCGTACGAAATCAATTAGTACCGGAGTTGCAGGAATCAATAGCAGAGGAGGAGGAGGAGTCTGTAGACAGCCTTATAGAAAGCTTACAGAAAGAATCTCTGGTGGCTCTGGTTATGGAAGCAATCTCCAATGACCCTCATTTGATTGAGAGGGTTCGTAATCTGGCTGAGGTTGATCCCGCCCAAAGAGAGATATGGGTGTCCCAATTTGGAAGGCAGACCGCTCTCACTTCTGAGACGTTGAATTCTTTCTTTGGAAGATATGGAGAAATTGAAAATTGCAGCATCAATGTCTATCAGAAAGATGCGAAAGCAGAGAGCCGAGGCTACATTACCTTTAAGCAGCGAAAGGCCGCGTGGGAGGCAGCGAAGGAGCCATCCCATAAGATCGGCGACAGCTATGTCAGGTGCATACTGCCCTCTCTTTGGCGCTTCCCCAATGCTTCCCGCTGGTTGCAATTGCCCGGTTACAATCCTGTGTTGGGATGCGAATTCAGATATCCATATAAGTTACCAGAAAATCAGTACGCCGCCACCTCCTCCACCACTGAGGAAGAAGAAGAGGAGCCTCTCGAGAAGCTTCTGGAAGCGTTAGGGACTTACAACCTGGTTTCATTAGTGAAGGAAGGACTAATGAAAACCCCAACTATACTAGCGAGCCTCTACAAGCACGCTGAGATTGATCCGACTCTTCGACATATCGCAGCTTACCGCATTGGCCCCTATTTCATGACTAATAGGACGATTGTGAATTCAGTATTTGAAAAGTACGGTGAGATAGAACGCTGCAGGTTTGATGAAGATGGTGTTCAAGTATTATTCAAGCACCGAAACAGTGCATGGAAAGTGCTGAAAGAACCATATCTAAAAATTGGTGACTACCTCGCAAGGTGCATGCGACCATCAGGGAGCCGCGGCATGCTTTTTTGGACGGACAGTTGAACAATGAGCACCAGCCACCCACATCTTTAGGTGGGTGTCTTTAGGTAAGAACAAAATAAGATATATTTAACTGCTCGATATTTGTCTTTTTTGTGATGTTTTACTTGGTGCTTATACACAAAATTTTAACCTGTTTTGCTTGGTTTTGATATATAAAAGAAAAGAAAAAAAGCAAAGATAGGATAGAAAGTGTTTGTGTATGCAAATAACTGATTTTCGCTTATTGATGCTGCATGATATAAAGATTAACGACTTCACATAAAGACACGTGAATTTACAGCACGCTATCTAAATGGCTAGTTAACTTATATTTATTATATGAATACCAGCCACAAACACTCAATGTGTTAGTTGGAAGCTTGTCATTGTGATGCTCTAAATTATCAAAGCCTCAAATTATTTTGGCATCATCTGACAAATGTTGGCTCTAAGAACCAGGTACTAGAATGATGAAAGAAGATAAACTAAACACCCAGAATATTAAAAAAACTTTTGTAAAGAGTCTTGCTTTTGAATTGTTACACATGTTCAGGAATGCAAAAGAGTCTGTGGATCACTTTATTCTTTCGTTTGGGATCTTTAATAGTTGCTGCTTTTGGTTTTGTCGGTCATGTTGTGATGTTTTTAATTCTCGTAGTTTTGGGCAAGTGGGTGTTGAGTGAAGGTGTAGATGACATGTGATGAAGCTGTACTTACTGATGACATTGTGAATCTATGATTCAATGTGCGTGCACTAGATAAGACAAGGGTAATGGCATGTGGTATTGGAATGCTAGTCATTATGTAGTCGCCAATCTGCTGCTAGTTTTGGATCATATCAATGTATTGTAAGTTTAAGGGCTCATAACCATGCGTGGAGATCACCCACACCAATGCTCATGCTTGAGTCTATGTAACATAGATGATTCCTTGTGCTATAAAGTGTGTAAGATGAGTTCATCTTGTGGAGTTTATGGTGTTAAGTTTTGTTCTTATAGACAATGGGTTGGAGATACCAATGGAGGTTAATGTATTGTTTGATGATCATGGTTTATGATCTTAGAAGAGTGACTGTTTAGAAGAGTGTGTGTGTTTGTTTGTTTTCAAATTGGATGGTAGGTATGTCCGTATTTTTGTTATGCATCTACTGTTTTAGATTAATGCACAAGGCAATGATGATCTGAGATCCTTCAATCTTACTGATGAGTGACTTGCCTTAGTGTTATTTAAACTGTTAATATTATAAAGTCTACTAGCATTGCAATTTATTCTTGTTCCAATTTTTGCTATATGTGATGGAAATATTGCTCTTATGTGTAGTAAATAAATTGAAGCTAGTCACTATTGGACAAATTTTGTGTCATATTCTGTAGGCTGAGAAATTGTTTATTCTATAGATATGTTTGGACTATTGGTTTACTTATCCCAAAAAAAGGTTTAGATTGTTATTTTGAAGTATGTTCCTATGTCAAATTCAATTTAGTCATCTCCACCATGTTAAATATTAAAACTCTTCTTTTGTGTCCCCTTTTTTATTTTTATTGTCATTAGTCCCTTTTTTGTTACAAAAATTATTGTGTCCCCATCCTAGTTGGATAGACAACAGATGTAATACAAGGTATGCAGTTTCAGCCTCAGTTTGTAATTGTTGGTTTTGTACTTGAAATATTTTCTTCTTATGATGAGATTTTATTATTATTATTATTATTATTATTATTATTTCTTCTGATGAGTTTTTTTTTTTTTTTTATGATTTTATGCTTTCATTGTGCAGATTCATCAAACATTTTGGACTCTAGTGATTCGTCAAACTGAAAGTTTTGGACTGGTGATTTTGTATGAACTTCCTGATGCTCGTGTAGATAATGCTTTAATTATTATTTACCTAATGACTAGAATCTACATTCTCCGTACTTTCCTATCTATTCAAGTACTTCATTTTTTTGGATGTTTCCAAAACAATGTGGTATTTTTGTGTCAATATTTATGTTTCTAAAGAACTCTTTGGGAATAACATCCTCAAAACATCAGTTATTACTCAGAACATCAGTTGTGTGGATTTTTGGGCATATTAATTTTTCTGCAAGTGCTTTATAATGGAATTATGTTCAGAATTGAAGTTGATAGTATTGTTTGTTTATGTGGTGCTTTGTTGTACTGTTATTGCACATTCATCTTCGACATCTTGCGTAGCCTTATTTTAGCCATTGGGTGAATCCATCCTATACTAGTCAGTATTCCAGGTGGCCTTTTTTTCCCCCCACTTTTTACATGAACGTAACATTTCTCAAGATTTTTTTTGGTTTGTTTTGTTTTTCCTTCTTTATTGTTCACCTCCCCATGGCGGGGTGTAAGGTTCAAAAACTTCCTCTATATTTGATGATGGATGGTTCAAGACATGATTAACTTTAAGGGATGAGAAGTTTTGAAAGCAAAACACATGAATGAATTGGGAGTGTTTCCAAATTAATGGGAGTGTTTCCAAATTAAGTATTTGCATTTATATTAATAGCTTGATTTCCACCCCCCTTTCATACTAAAATTACCTACAATGTATAGTTTCTCTAACTAATTAGTGAGTATTATTGTCTCATGTCAGATTTTGAACCCCTCTCAATTTATGAGAGAGGAGTGTTTTGGGTCTATTTATAGTAGTAGAAAAATAGCCCTAAGGTCAATGAAAATGATGAGTCGAAAACCCCCAAAAGTAGGGCCCATTAGAACCCCAAAATTCTAAAAAAAAAAACATGCAAGGGTCGACCCTGGTTTGGTGGTGTTGACCCTTCAGGAAGAAATGACAATGCTGTCAAGGCAAGGTGTCAACCCTTGGACAGGAAGGGTTGACACTAAATTCCAGCACCTATACTCAGATTCTACAGTATACAAGGGTCGACCCTTCCCTGACTGGTGTCGACCCTTGAGGCCAACGACAAAAGAAAGGTGTCGACACCACCAAGGCTGGTGTCGACCCTAAATTTCAGCATCACTTCTAGAATTTCAGCAACAAGGGTCGACTCTTAGGAAGGCTGGTGTCGACCCTAGAATAGAATTTTTAAGTTTCTAAGGAACTTTTGGACAAGAACAAATGCGAACGAACAAACTCAACGAGTTTAAATCTGATTGTACTCCTTTAAAACAAATATACAACAACTTCAAAGACTTCCAAAATGAAAATAAAGGGATTAAATACACCTTCCAATAGATTAAAACACCCAAGTGTTACAGATTATCTTTCTTAGGCTTCTTTCTAACTCTTTAGTTCATTTAGGATGCTCAATGTGTACCTAAGAATGCTCAGAAATGAAGTAGAACAGAAATTGAAACATAACACAACATTTCAAAGTTTTCTAAAATAGGATACTTCGCTCAAGCGCAACATTAGTGGCTCAAGCAAACCCCTAAGTCTGCAAAAGTATTGGATGCTCTCATTTTATGCTCGAGCCAACTTCTTGGTTGCTCGAGCCAAGACTGAAAATAAAGGGTGGTCGCTCGAGCAGTATTTTGGTCGCTCGAGCCAACCTTCATTGTCTGCAAAACTACGGGATGCTTGATATGTGCGCTGGAGCTACCTTTTGGTCACTCGAGTAGTCTGTCGAATCTCTGGAATTTCCAAAATTCTGTTTTGAACTTCAAACACATTCAAGGCTTCAAATTCTTGCATGACTCACTCAACTATGCAAGAACACTCCCAAATACATATATTTCAAGTTAACTTCAACCCATTGTTCAAAACTCCATGAATTCAACAAAATTCAAACCTTATTTTATGTTTGTAAAATCCATATTTTATATCTTGCATTCACAAGCTTCAAATCTTAAAATTGAGCCTTAAAACATGACAATTCATGCATGCATGTGAAATATGACTTTGAATTCAAATTGAAACATCATAAATCATGTTCAAAAGCACGAGCCTTCACAATTTCTTGCATGCATGTATGATTTAACAATAAATTCTTCATGCTATGCTCATGTCTTGCACTAAATTACAAAGTTTTCTTGAATTCACAAGCTATAAGATTTTAATTCACAATCTAAGGTTCAATTACTCACCTAGAGCCTTTAACTATTCCAAATTATGCTAGTTCTTGAGCCTAGCTCTTCAAATCTCCAAGCTTTAGTTCAAGTCTTCAAATTTGAGTCTCCTCTCTCTTAGAATCACACACTCTCTCTATATAATGCTTAACCTCAGCGAAATTATTGAAGAAGAGCTCAAATATATGAGCTTAATCACAATCTCAAACTTGATGAGAAACTAAGGCAAATCAGTGCATCGTTTCGCTTATGTCCAGCCATAACTTGCTAGAAGGGGCTCACGTGCATGCACGAACCAGTTTTCCATCATAGAGCATGAATTTTGGCTGGTGAAACCAACGGGGAGTGGCGTGTTCTCTATCTCAAGGGAAAAAGGGGTGGGGCTCAGACTTGCTAGATCCCTATCTGGTGGTACGTGCGCCACCAGGTGCGGCGCTGGCATTATGACCTCCTCAATGGCACGACCTTTGGGGGCCAACTGTTGCAGTGTTGACACCCTTTAAGCCTCCCATCGGCGCGCTCGCTCCTCTAATATATCCCTCAGATCTCCCGATCGATTGGAATATGAGTATCTCAACGTCGTCGACAGACGTGAAGGACAACAGCTGCTGTCTCAAGTATGACACAACTCTGCCAATGCGACAAAGTCGTCTGCTCTGAAACTCCTCGAAATGGTAAGCGAAGAAATTGGCCGCCTACTCCAACTACCAGAATGGTAGGACTAGGTGTGCTCACTATGGTTTCCCACTCCAACAACATCATTTCCTTTCAGCTGGCGCTTCATGGCCTCCATCACCGTCACCATATTTCTGATGATGGCGTTTTCATCTCTCAGCTTGCTCTCCAAGTGCTAAGTGTGTGACTCTCATCGGCGGCGACGCCCTTCTGGGCTCAATGAGCACCTAGAACTCCTTGCGCATTTGTCTCGCTCATCTCTGACGGGCCCTCACGTGGAGGTCTCCAAACCAGCCATTATCGAAACGGTGAGCAAGTCATCGTGCCGCAAGACAGACTTTGGCATAATGCTGTCAATATTGAATTTCGGAACGTCGTCGTTGTTCACCTTGGAAAGTGATCAGAAAAGTTTGGAGGTCAAGGCTTTGTCTATTGGATTCCCACAAAATGCGCCAATTGTACGAGGAGCAAATATTCTTCGCTTCTGTAATCCTTTCGTCCAAGCCTCGCGTTACTCCGAATGATGTTATTCAACCTGAAAACATGACAACGGTGAGATACCACGCAGATGTGTTGCCGGAAAATCCCTACGACGATCAAGTTAGCACCTTTGGAGAGAGAGGAAAGACAAAAGCAAAGGTAGCTTTGTGTAAAGAAAGTTCCAGACCTTTTGCATGGAAGCGCCGCAGGGCTTATATAACTTGTGTGTGCACTACCTTGCTCGCCTTTTCCTGGACGCGTAGATGTACTATCCTCTCTTCACCTTACACGTGTGTGTGTCAATATTGCCAAATAGAATCGACAAAACAACCAAATAGTATTGACACGTACAGACGGCAGGTTCCTCTCCTCGCACTCCAATTAGGCCATGTAGCATGCTACTACCAAGCTAATTCTACCTCGGTCAACCTCAGATATACTCAAGATTGGAATGGCTCTTCCAAGTTGTCGAGCACGGTTTTCCCAACCCTACTTGCTTAGCTAACAACTCGGTTAAGCCTCAAATAACCCTTTCGTCAGAACTCATAGCACAGTCGAGAGCCTCTTCATTCTCTCAACCTTAGCTTGGCCATGCTCTGGAGATGCCGATGTAACTCGGCCAAGATCTTTACCTCGGTTAAGAATGACGTTCTCAACTCGCTTACCTCGACCCATAACTTAAGTTTGTCTTATCTGAGGACTTTGCGGCCCGATTGCTTGGTCAAGAACAGGGCCCAAACCTGATTTTGCTCGGCCCATTTGTTCGGCACAAATTCCCCTCTCAGTGTATTTTGTACTAAAATTTAAATAATAAAAAAAAAATCATAAATTGAGTTTTACAAATCAATTTTTAGCAAAATTGATATATGTAGGTTTTTATTTTCAATATCTTTCAAATAAGATCAATATTAAGTTTGAAATTTCAAAAACAAATGCTAATATATTGATTTTTTGGTTAATCAAAACAACAAAATAATATTTTTTAAAAAGTAAGCGCTCGAAATAGCCTTTTGCAATTTTTAAAGGATAGATCCTAAAAAAATACATGGAATAAAGAAAAAAAAATTGTCTAAAACGAACTACCAAGCATAAAGTTATTACCTACTGAAGTTTTAACACTTTTTTTTTTTTTTTTTTCACACCTTCATATTGATCAAATCATTCAAATAGTTATCTGTTCAAATCATTTATGGTGTTCAAATTTGAATAGGTCATAACTTTATACTCAGTAATTTGTTTTGGACGATTGATTTTTTAATCAACAAAAAGAAACTTTATTAATAAAATCAATCGTACATCAAATACAAAGATAAGCATCAATAAAAATAAACGAGTGCAAAAAGTATCAAAACTGAACTATCAAAGCACCAATAATCCAAGCATTCCCTAGACTTTAGTGTGTGACTAATTCAATGGTACAGAGTCAAATGCTAGAAAATTTATTTCTAATAGGTAACGCTATTAAGTAGTTCAATACTATAGTTCCTATTATTCCTATGATTAGATCATTGTCTAAAGCAAAAATTTGTAATGTGTTAGAACATTCTATTAGTAACCCACTCTAGGCCGATTTATCAGATTTTGTTTTTTACACTATTTCAAAAATTCAAGGACTCAATCATATGGATTATATAAATACAAGATTTCCAATCTTAGCACGAAAATGAAAGAAAGGGACTCAACTTAAAGTGAGTTAAACAAAATTTCATACTCGATCTCATAAGACATAGAATTTTGTGGAAAGTCATATTCGATAAAACTTATATGTAAAGCTTGGAAGGAGATCTTTCATATATTTTGAAATCCACCCTACAATATAATGTAAACAAGCCAAAATAAGTTATTTTAGTCCTTATAAAAAGAAATCGAATTATTAAACCTCTTTCATGCTCATGTCACATTAAGATACTTCAGAACAAAAACAAAAACACAAAATTTGATCAAATTTGTCACAATTGATTAGTTAATATATTAGTTAACCGTATTCTGAAATACGGAGGTGAGCGTAATTTACCCTTATTTATTTATCTTTCGTTATGACGCTGTTTCTTGGGTTGTCAAAATTTCTAGTGTTGAACTTCTAATCTTATGCGGTTGACAACTGATTGTCCAGTTAAGGTTAACATAATTATCGTGATATTCACAAATGTAAATACTCTTACTGAACAATGTCACACAGTTATTAGTTGGTGCAATAGATCAACCTGAGAACGTTGTCCAAGTTCAAGCCACAGAAGAGCAGCTGCCTTGGTTAATTATTTTACTTTTCTTCATTCATTTATTTATTTTCATGCTTTTAAAAATATAAAAAAGGTTTCAAAATAACCGTCACTTTCATATCATTTGCATTTTTGTCCAAACAAAAAGATTCTCAAAAAATCAAAATCAACATTTTAGTTTTTCTCAAAAAGTTGATATTTCCAAAAACAAAAACAAAAACAAAAACAATACAAAATATCCTACAAATTATTTACCAAACAAGTTCATAAAAAAGGAAAACAAAACAAGCCATTCAGCATCTCGTGAAAAGAAGCATTATAATGTTGAGCAATCCCTCAAGAATCCATAGTTTTTCTTTCAAAAAAATTCAGAGGTTTTAATGGGCAAAATGGGGCACCCCACAACTCCGTGAGTAAGCTATAGGATTTTCCATCAAAGTTTGCCCAAAAACATAAAAACAAAACCAAGTAAAGATTGTAACACTAAAATGTAAACACAGAGTATAAACATCATATATGTTTTTTAATAAATGAAGCACAGCAATCCATCAACTTATTGCTAGCATATAGTATTTAAACATTGAAGTAAACCACAAATAACTTGCCACAAAAATTTATGAGAGCAGAAAACAAACGAGTTCCTGATAGTGTAAAACACAGACACGCTTGTGGTCCTCCTGAAGGAATCCGAAGCTCAGTTTCACTGATCACTGCCATTCATTATTTATTAAATGGAAATGGAAACTGTGCCACAACGAAGAACACTCAAAGGAACTTCCTGTGTGGCCGTCCTGCATCCTCATCTTGCATATGCTGTCACCATAATACATGATTTTACCAAAATATTAATATTCTCATTATATCTGCAAGGGTGGTGAACACAACTTCAAACATAAAATGCACGCAAAATATAGCTATACAAAAAATTAATGAATCATTTATTGAATCTTCAAGACAACTTGATGAATAATTTCTGCCACTGTATTATTCAAAAAATAAAATAAAATAAAATATATCATAAAGCATGTAGCAAAAAGGAATTGGTGAGTAAATACCTGACTATTTAATATTGTCTTCATACTTGAATGATACCCAAACTAAGCTTTATGTCTCAATCAAATGGGTCAGCTATACGAATCCATTTTCGTCATTCTATTCAGGCAAGAACTATATGCTCAATTAAATTAAATAAATTCATATCTTTTCTTACTATTGTATCCCATATTAGCTAGGTCTTCCCCTACCCCTAACATTTCCAATTATGGTGAGCATATCACTCTTTCTTATCGTTGCATCTATTATAGTTCTTCATTGTATATGAACAAACCATCTTAATTTGTTCTCTTTCAACTTATCTTCAATTGATGCTACTTCTATTATTTCATAAACATGATCATCCCTAATTCTATCTTTCATAGTCTTACCACACGTTCATCTAAGCATTATTATCTCACCTTACACTCATCTATGAACATGTTGTTTCTTAGTTGCCTAACATTCAATCCCATAAAGCGTCGGTAGTCATATAGTTGTTCTATAAATTTTTCCTTATAATTTTGTGGGGTATTCGTCGATCACATAATATGCTAGATGCACTCCTTCACTTGAGCCAACTTATTTTAATTCTATGAATCACATCATCTCTAACCTCACCATCCTTCCTTGATAATAATCGAACCTAGGTATCAAAAATGTTTACTATATGCTATCTCTTGATTTTCAATCTTTACTTACTATTACTAATGTCACATTTCATATATTCAATTCTAATAATTTTAAACCAATTTGACTCCAATGTTTCTCTTCAAATTACTAATTTTGAATTTTTTTCATTCCTTAGTTTCATCCACTAGAAAATATCTTATGCAAACAACATATACACAATAGGACATCATCATGAATGCGTCTAGTTAATTCATCTATGATTAAGGCATAGGTAAGGACTCAAAGCTAACCCTTGATGCAACCATTCAGCAATTGAAAATTCTCAAGTTTCTCTTACAGGTGATCTAATCAGAGTCACTCCATCAACATGTCTTTTATTGCATCAATATACTCTATGGTCACACTAATGTTATTAAAGGTGCACCTAGGCGTGCAACTAGGCCCAAGGCTTATCAAGGTGCAATTAGTGCCCTTAGGAACATCTCAAACCATGCAATGTGAAACAGGCCCCATAAAGGCACATGAAGCTTGCATTTTGCACTTAGACTCAAGGCACACGATTTGTGCACTTCTTTTAAATATTTGTTTATTACAATTACAACTTTTGATTTCACTTAATCTCATTATTTTTTTGTTTACATGCGACCCAACAGTTAAATATACATTGCAACCCAACAGTTTTTTAGCCCTAATTATATAAAGATGTTGGTTGGATAAAGCTTTCCCTTCGACTATACGAACAATTGTTATTCTTCTTTTTCATCTCCTCAATCTCATTCTCCTCCTTCCTCTCTATGTTTATCTTGTAAGACACTTCAATTTCCTCGCTATTTACAAATGTTTATGGCTATAAGTTCGATGTTTGTATTTATGTGCAATCTTGAATTATTTGTCTATGATAAAATATTAGTGTTTGTTGGTATTTATATTTTATAATATTTAATATGATAACTTATTTAACTTTAATTATTTTCTTATCATGAATTATCTATTTTTTATTGTCAACTTGAGCCTCGCTTCGATGAAGTTCACACCTCGCCTTGGCCTAGGCCCTAGGAAATCTTGGCTTTTCAGTGTATCACCTTTAATAACACTGGGTCACACATTTTTTCTCCGATACTCACCATATTATCTCTAGGAATCCTATCATATGTAGATCCCTCATTTTCTCTTTATTTTTTTTTACTAATCTTCAAAGTAAATTTATTGCTTCCATAGTTGATCTACTAGGTATAAAAACATATTGATTCTCTAACACTGTTGTTGTAATCCTTAAATCACTCATTCCTATAATTTCTTTATATGACTCATTAACTAAGTAGGCGTTTGGCATGCACTAAAAAAGTGCACTTTTTTTGCATACATACACTTATTTGGGTTACATCAATCAACATCTATCAACATCTCCTTTATACTTTTCTACCCACTTTCTCTATTTTTCTGCACATTTTTTTATAAAAAGTAAAAAAATACACTTATTTAGAACATCCCAAACCACCCTTAAATGCCTCTATATTTGTTGCAATTTTGATTATCACCTTTATTTTTAATATAGGTAATAAAATACTTTTTCTTCACTTGTCTATGAGAGACTAAAAAAAACCCATAAAAGATTAATACAATACTATCAAAGGCACACATCTCTGAGGCTCCCCCACAACCTGAGGGAATAGGATACTTATTCCTCATAAGGCTTATCTTGTGCATCCTTCTTTCGTATAGGTGTTAGGCCTTTTTCCCATTCTTCCTATTATTGGATAGGGGTTTTAAAAGTATTTGCTTGAAAGTGCTAGACGTATCCAACTTCACACCCAAGTCCTTCATTTGTTGCAACTTCTCTTCAAGTCTTTTCCTATTTTTCTCCCTTGATGAAGGTTCAGCCACACCTAAAGGATTCAAGTTAGGAGAAAACTCTTTTGTTGACTGTGTTTGATTCTTCTTCACTTCCTCCTTACTCATCCCACACCTACATTAAAAAAAGAGTTGGAAATAAAAGCTTCCACTCCATCTTTCCTCTTATACGAATCAATAGGAGGAAACTTTTCTTTCCCCTTCTCCTTGAGTATGCTTGGTTGAGCGATTGGTACACAATTTTTCCTTTCACTTCCTCTTTCCTTTTCAAAACTTTGGGTGGAAGGGGAGCTTTTGAAAAAGGGTGCAATTTGAAGTGGCATGGCTGAAAATTTTGCATTTGTTGCATATTTGAGGCTTTCGCACAGCAACCACTTTGATAACTTGGCATAATTAAGTCTTTTCCTAGAGTGAGTGGAACCATGAAGGCTACAGGTGTGCCCAAAATACTCAAGTAAGAGCAATTCTAACGTTACTCTTCATTTTTCACTAGCTAAAGTACAAAAGAAATAACTTCCTTATTTTACCTAACTAGTTTTTCATTATGTACTCCAACACTACTCTTTACTTTACCTATTTATCCACAGAAATTGTTTGAAGAGCCACTCAAGGCTCTCCAAATGAAGCTAGCCCGGAAGAGTTTTGTTAAATAGCTATTGTAGTAGCTAGCGCATTGGAGAGTAAAATAGGATGCGGCTAGCTATAATAGCCAACGGGCCTCTTTTAAACGGCTCATTGGAGATGCTCTAACTTAGTTGATCACCATGCCATACTTGTAGCAGAACATTTAAAAGATTCGTCCTAATTGGCACCGTTGAGAAATGTTGTTTAGTCTATTCAACTTTGGATGACATCTCTTCAAAACTAGGGGAACACACCCACAATTTTAAGGACCTCCTTGAAGAACCCTCCAAAGGACTTCCTTTCCATTTTAAGAGATAACATCACATAATGACAATAAATCAGTTACATGATCATCCATCCCAAGTTTTCATAAACAAAAGTTTTCTATCAAGAAAATAGCCAATCTGTGTATATTGGCATAAGGACTATCCCTTGTTGAGAAATTTCAATTGGCATATCAAGGACATAATATCTATGTTACACGGACTCAGGTACGAGTATCGGGTGCGGGTGCGTATCTAATGGTCGGATACTTCAAAATTAAAAATTAAGGATACGTGTATATGCTATGAAGCATGGACACGGCAGATTTCATGCCGTGGCAGTGTCTGACACGGGGACACGCCGGGGACACGGGGACACGCCGGGGACACGTACGGGACACGCCGGGTGGCGTGTCCCTTTAATTTAATTATTTTTTTTGCAGGGGACACGGTGGAGACACGGCGGAGACACGCGTGTCCACCAAATCTGGACACGAGTGTCCAAATCTGGACACAGAGAGCAAAAAAGAAGAGTAAAGGAGAAGAGCGAAGGTGTTGAAACAAACCTGAACTTCGATCCAGTCCAGTTGACTCGCCGGCGACCTCCATGACCTCCACCGTAAGCCGTCGACCTCGACCTCCATCCCCTTCGACTTCGACGATCCAGTCGCCCTTTGACTTCGACGATCCAGTCGCCCTTTGACTTCGACGATCCAGTCGCCCTTTGACTTCGACGATCCAGTCGCCCTTTGACTTCGACGATCCAGTCGCCCTTTGACTTCGACGATCCAGTCGCCCTTTGACTTCGACGATCCAGTCGCCCTTTGACTTCGACGATCCAGTCGCCCTTTGACTTCGACGATCCAGTCGCCCTTTGACTTCGACGATCCAGTCGCCCTTTGACTTCGACGATCCAGTCGCCCTATATTATTATATTAATTACATATAAATGTAATATGAATAATAATTTACAAAAATTATTATTATATATGATATTTTAAGAAATTATAATTAGATATTTTATTATATATGATAAAAATTATAATTTATAAATTATATAAATTATATTATATATATTATATATGATCAATTAAAACAGAGACGAAAGGAGAGAGAACAACGAACAGATTAAGAGATGAAGAGAGAGGGAAGCAGAGACGAAGACGATCGAGATCGAGATCGACAGTGAGAGAAAAGAGTGACGAAGATGATCAAAGCCCTCAGAGACGAAGACGATGACGATCGTGATCAATAGTGAGAGCCCTAATCGTGATCGATGATCGAACCCAACAGCGACCAGGTTCTCTCTTCCTTTCTCTTCTTTCATTTCTTTTGTTGTCTGTAAAGAGCCGTGTCCGAGAGAGAAGAGGCGAATCTGACACAGATCCCAAACCCGCACCCGTGTCGTGTCGTGTCGGCACGGGTATTTCGCCCCAAAGTGCCGAATCCATGTAACACAGCATAATATTTAGGCTTAAGATCACATTGGTTATACCTCCTGATGACGAAAGCAGTTACAAGAAGTATTCTGCCCCCTAATGAGGAACACACAGGCACTGTAGTGATGAGTACCCTCAAAGCCACCATTGTCGTCTCCGCTAGGCCTATAAAGCCTGTTGTTCCACCTCGCACACAACTCTAAGGCCTTACAACTCTCTGAAAGAGTCTTTCTTAGCCAAAGAGAAATGATGGGGAACACATGGGTGTTGGATAAGGATAAGAGTAGACATTTTATTTATCTAGGAATTATATTTTTTAAGAAGTTGAGTTTGTTTAGGATTAGTTTGGTTTGCCTATATATATGGCATTTACATGATGGATTTATCGAACTTGATATGATATGAATATTAATTATTGAATAATTGAGATTAAGATATTTGATTTGGAATTGTGATCCCTAGTCCATTCTTCATTCCTCCTCCATTCTTCTTTCTATGGATGCTACATCACTCCCCTCGACACATGAGTTACATTCAGCTCCCCATTTGAAACACCAATCACCGTGACATTGTTGTTTTGGGCGCATTACACTGGTGTATCACAGAGCATCTTCATTAGAATCTAAAATCAAGGGAGAGTCTTGCAAATTCAATCGAAAGGCTTCATCTCCATGTTCAACATCTCCTTTTCCTTCTTCACTAACTTCCCTAGACTATTGTTTATTCTCCTTGGGAATAATCTTGGATATCTCAATTCCAGCTAACAAGAATCTCTCCCAACATTGAGTTTCTCCATTGCAATCTGCAGATTCTTTCAGCTCATCTAGATGAAATTCCTTGTCTAGACTCCTACTGGTAGATACCAAATCGTGAAGTTCCTTCAAAGAAAACCTTTTTGATGAGCTAGATATCATCTTCGACAATATTCTTTTTTTCCTTTTTGAATTTTTTATTTTTTTTTTCAAATCACCAATATTTGTTGTTTCCATTCCCCAACAAAATCACATGCAAAAGGGTCCTTCAGTGGTCCTCTGGGACACATAGATCTCTAAAGAGTCAGCACTACAAGCGAGAAAATTTTCACAACAAACAATGTAGAATGAAAGAAATTGTGCAGGGAAATCTTCTTGATCAAAAAAATTGAGAAATCAGTCACAAAAGATGTAAAAATAAGGATCTTTGTGTGTCTTCACCCCTTGAGTCACATGTCCTCTAAAATAAACACCTATGTTTCAAAGCAAGCTATGCTTTTTGTGTCAATCAAAAAATAAACAAGAAAAAATCTAAAGGGTGCAGAAATTATTAATTGAGTATTGATTGTTTCATAACTAGAGAGAGAGCTAGAGACAATTACCCTCATATGTGTTCTAGTTTTGTTTATTTTTTATATGAGAAAGCCTTAAAGCCAAGGTTTTTTGTAGTTACAATATTACGACTATTCTTCAAGGAGCCACTATAATATTTTATAAATAACGAAATTTGTCTAAACCAATTGCAAATATAAATATTTATATAAAATATACATATACATATTACAAAAGATTAAGAAGCACGGACACTTCTAAGAAAGTGACGTATCCGTGTCGTATCCGTGTCATGTCCGTGTCAGACACCAACACTCTTTGGACACTTCCCCGACACGTGTCCAACACTCTTCAAAACGTGCCTTATTTTTTAATATTTTTTAAAGACCCGGATACTTGGAGGACACACATCTCTATCTCTTAAACACGTGTGTCTATTGATTAGACACATGTAAAACTAATTATAAGTTTGAACAAAACAACTTAAGATACAATAATAAAACAAAAATCATATAAATTTATAGGTATTAGTGTCGTATTGCATTTTTTATTATCTTTGAATGATATATTCATATATATAACATATAATAAATATATAAAACAATATATTTCATGCGTGTCCCCCACGTGTAGTGTCCTACATTTTTTGAAAATTAGCATGTCAGCATGTACGTCCATACTTCTTAGACAAAAGATAAGTTTGCAAACGGAGCTTTTGGTTTGCCTGGCTAATCCACAATGCCTATCCCATGACAATTATAGCAAGATAAATATTTATTCATAAACTAGCGATTGACCCGTGCAAATGCAAAGATAAAAGAAATATTTTTGGCAAAATTATTTTAATATTATTTTTAATCAGCAAAAAAAAAAAAGAAAAGGAAATTCATAAAATAAAATATAAAAAAAACAGTACAAATTGGGAAGAACCAGCAATCGACCAAAACGAAACATAAAAAGAAAATGCAAATCACACAACTCTCCAATCTCTACAAATCAAAAATTGGGGAATCTCCTTCAAAGGAGAAGAAACTGACACCTAAAAAGAAGACAGTTAATAAACCCTATCCCAGAGGAGGAGAAACTGAGACCTAAAATCATAAACCTCTCATCAAACCTATCTTCAGAGATTCCTGTGTTCTTTCTGACCAAATCATGCAAAGGTGGCACAGATAGCGGAATTCAAATTATTATGTATAAACTATCAATTAAATTGTGATATGCTAGTCTTCGTAGCCATGCACTTGGAGATGTGAGTTTGTAGCTATGTATTTGAGGTAGCAATGTTCATTGTCAAAACCAATTTATGAGGGTTTGATAAATCTTAATCACAACTATGGCACACAGGTGCGTGAAAGCACGCACAAAAGGTTTTAACAATGTCTTGGAAATGTACACACAGAATGCCCCATTTCACAATTGCATCAGGAAATAATCTATCAGATTGAATTGGACCCCATTTATCAAAAAACAGTTTCAGACTCCCGTCCCATGAGCAAGCAAAGACGAGTCTAGAAAGAAGCCTAACTTCCAGGATTCAGTCATCACATCAAGTCAGTCCACCCAAAGCTTAAAAAGGCCAATTCAGCAGCTACAGAAAAACTTCAATCACAACACAATTTTGTGACAATTTACACAATAATAAATCTATAAACACATAAACCAAGCTTTCAATAGTCATATGAAAGAAATGAAAAATTAGGGCACTATCAGAACCAGATAAGGAAATTAAAAGACAATAAAATTAGGTAAAACCTAGAACAATATATGTATATATATATATAGACATAAAGAGCGAGAGAGGAGAGAGAGAGAGAGAGAGTACGAAATCTCGGACGATGCCCTTGTAGACGAGGATGGGGATGGCGATGCCGAATAAGCCAACGAGAGCAAAGTTGCGGCGGGTCCACCTGAAGTTGAGCTCCAGGTTCTCCCTCGCGCTTCCCCACTCCTCTATGAACCTGTTCTTGTTCGTTTCCATTCCTCCTCCCATCTTCTTCGATCTTCTTCTTCCTCTCTCTCTCTTCCTGTTTTTCTTTTACCCGTTTTGTTTAGGTCTTACTGTTCGTCTCTTCTCTCTCTCTCTCAACACTCTTTGACGCTACCGCTATTCAAAACACCAAATGGATGGAAAAATTATTGGTTGATTTGGAGCGTCACGTGCCATGCTCTATACTAATTACTATAATTTATCCGGTTTTTTTCCGTATCTTAATTACTTAATATAAATTTATAAATTTTATTTTATTTTAGGAAAAATTGGCCTAAAGTCTCTTCTCTATTTTTGATAGGAGAAGAGTTCCAAAATAATATGTTTTGATGGCTAAGGTCCCTCAAATTTATTTTGGGTTATAAAGTACCTAAATTACCCTTCCTTTATATCATAAATTTGTTTGAATATTATATTGTTGACTTAACTGATAGATTTTGGAAACCGAATTTGCAGTGGAGATTTTGTCAGATTTTTCGTCGAAGATTTCAGTGGAGATTTCATAGTAGAGATTTCAGTGGAGTTGATGAGAAAGATTGCTATGATCGTGTAGGTGCGAAAATTGAAGTTTTTATTTTAGTATTTTTTATTTTTAATAAATATTTTTTAAATTTTAAATAATTTTTTTATTTTTAAAATATATTTTATTTAGATGTATTTAAATAGTAAAATATTTTTAAAAATTAATAAATATACAAAAATACGAAATGTGTATTGAATTTTTATATTTTTTTATATTTTTTGATATTTAGTGTATTTTTTAAAGATTTTTTTTACAATATTATACTTTTTAAATGTATTTATGTTAGGTGTATCTAAAAATTTTTAAAAATTACTTAAAGTATTAAAAAAAATTCATTAAAAATATTAAAATAAGAAAGATAAAAATGTAAAATTTTCTAAAAACTACAACCAAACAAACTGATTGGTTGGTTTGGAGCGTCACGTGCCATGCTCTACACTAATTATAATTTATCTAGTTCTTTTATGTATCTTAATTACTTAATATAAATTTATAAATTTTATCTTTTTTATTAAATATAATATTAGTAGACACCACGTGACGATATCTTAGAACCAATCAATGACTTCTCAAATGGATGATCTACTTCTCAAATGGATGATCTACGGAACAAGATTATAATAAGAGTAAATTACTTCTTTTTACTTTTAACGTAGACTAAATCACACTTTATCTCCAGTATTTTACACCAAATTTTATTTTAATCCCTACACATAAAATCATGATAAAGACTTTAATATTAATAAAATTATTATATATTTATATAAGGTTTTTCTTTGAATTATATATTATTTTTTATGTTCACCTTGGTTTTTGTCACATGGTCAATTTTCCAAATTTAATTTAAACATGCAATTGCACTAAACTTCAGTCTTAATCTCAGCCAAACATGTACAAATTACTCGCAAATCAAATAAGCATATACACAATTTACAAGAACCATTCCAACTTTTATTACTACCAAATAATATAAAGATACAAGAGCCTTTCATCTAAGCTACACACACTGCCAAAAAACTCTTAATGCCTTAACATTTTAAGCTGACACCCTAAATTGCTAGGATAAATTCGAACCAACAAAGGCTGCTACAAAGGTAATTGCCACCAACTAGCAAGAACTACCATGGACCAGATCCTACATTCTCACAAGTTGTGTCATTGCCTCTTGCAAGCATAACTGCCACTAACTGCCTGTATGTCAGCCTTGCATCATGCTAGCATATAACTGTCATGGACTGTCATTCATGTCAACATTGAACCCACTTAAGTCAAACCCATGAATTAGCAAGTCTTGGGCTACCTAGCTGTGACAACCCTCACCTCTGATTAGCGTTAATTTATGATTAAGCTTATTAAGATGAAATCCGAAATTGATTACATGAGTGTGTTATTTTAATTGTATTTCTATCTGTTTATTACTGAATGATCTGTTCATGTTTTAATTTCGAATTGCGAATTGAAAGCCTTATCGGCGACCGATTCAGAAATTGATTAGTGTTATTTGCTAATTAGGATTTATATGATTTTATGGTATGTTTAATTAAAATTCAATTTGGAATGATTAAATTAGAATAAATAATACTAAATTAATTGAATATAGGTTATCTACATTTTTGCCATTGAGTGGGCCACCTTCAAAACCATTGTTTTGGGCTTAATTCACATATTTAACACATTATTCTTCATTTATCTCATTGCAAATCGTGAGAGAGAGGAGAGTAGGAGAAAAATTGAATTCAACAAGACATTGGCTTGAAAATTTAGAGGAATCGAAGAGGACTTGCAAAAATTGGGCTACCACACTTGGAAATTCAAGACTTAAGGTAGGGATTCACCTCTTTAATTATGAATTTAAGTTGTTTCATGCATAGTTCATGGAAAAATTGGAGATTAGAGTCAAGAAATAGCCTAAAGAGTTGAATTGAGAAACAATTTATGCACGCATGTCCATATCATTGAATTTTGAGATCATTTTCATGAGAATTTCCACATGCATGTCCATATTATGGTTGTACTCTAGAGATTCACCATGTTTTCGAGCTCAATCTTGCATTTGGTCATACCTTGGAGCATTAGAGTTCATGAGAACTCATGCATGTTATGTTCTTGCATTGTTCATAAAAGTTTCATTGAAATTGTGTTCAATTAGCACACTTTTGGGCTTTGGTTTTATAAAATGATCTTCAAAACATGTTGTATTATGAATTTCTAAGTGTTTTCCAGAAATTTGGCCCAAAAGGATGAGTTTTGGCATATTTGATCTATGGTTTGAGCTTTGGGAGCAAATCTGGAAACCCAGAATTTGGCTTCCTTGCTCGAGCGAAGGATTCCACGCTCGAGCGACCACCTTTGTTTTCAGAATTCCGCTCGAGCGACGGAATGCTGGCTCGAGCGTAAATTGCAATCTCTCAGGTTTTTTCGTATGCAGACGCACGCTCGAGCGACGAGATCTACGCTCGAGCGACGAGATCTACGCTCGAGCGAGGAATTGTATCTCACGCTTGAGTGAGCATCGAGCGAGCATCGGGCGGAGAATTTTAGCAACCAGTACTTTTCATACTTTTGCAGATTGCTCGAGTGAGGGAGGGAGTCTACGCTCGAGTGACCTCTCTCATTCGGTAAGCTTGCCCGAGCGGAGAAAGCCACGCTCGAGCGAGACCCCTATTTTCAGCAAGTTTTGAAAATATTGTTAAGTACATTTTTGCATCCTCATTTCATCCTAGGCATTTTTAGGTCATGTTTAAGGCATCATAATGAGGATAATGTTATAGAACCACACCAAGTCAAGTTAGGGGCTAAGTTATTAAATCTCGAGTGTGTAATTTAGTGTGTGTTCGTTCTGCAACTGTATAGGGTTGGCAACCGAGGACGCTGGTTAGCCTGTCTATAGTCCAGTAATCTGTGAGTAACAATGTTGTAAAGATATGTTCAATTATAATTATTTTTTGAACGATCGATTGTACTGTTTTCTGAAGTGACATTGTTTACTGAATGAATGTTTGTCCTATTTTATGAACTGTACTCGTGGCATCCATAGCAACTTACTGTTACTGCTATTGTACTGTTACTATTACTGCTACTATACTGTTATTATTACTGCTACTGTACTGTTACTTTTACTGCTACTGTTACAGGGATCTCTGTTAGTTCCAATGTTTGGAACCAATACTGTTTACTGTTTCGATAACCATCAACTGACTGTTCGGTCTATTAAGACCTACTGTACTGTTCTGCTAATGGATGTACCACGTATGACTGCTATGACTACTATATGACAGATATGATACGAAATATGAGATATTGATCGAATAAATGATCTACTGATGTAATTAGCTGTTTTAATTACTGAAAGGACAGTCATTCTTAACCCCTTTACACATTTGTTATTCAATGGGCTTTAGCTCACAGTTTATATATGTATGTAGCTGACCAGGCACCGGACCAAAGCTAGAAGCGTCGAGTTAAGCTCATGTTTTGTCCAGCCAACCGTTGTGCCTCACTTCGAGGTTCTGAGTCTGCTCAAGCCAAGGCTGTTTTAGGGGTGTTTTAGATTCACCCTTTTGTCTTTGTTATGTATCGAATGCTTAAGACTTGATTGTACAGTTATGGTAAAGGGATCAGGTCCCGAACCTGTATGCTATGTGTATCTAGTATGTGTATATGCATATGGCTTTGAATGTGGTTATGTCCATAAAAGTCTTTTTCCATTCAGATTTTCACAGCTCATTGGGCATCTTTTTATTACTGATTGGCTTCCGCCAGCCCCTTACTCTGTATTATTGTCATTACTGTTAAGCAGGCCTTTGGTAATTACGGATTACTGGCCGGTTACGATGCTAAACCTATAGGAGCGGGTTTGGGTCGTGACACTAGCCCATGCGAATGCCAGCCCTTAGTCTGCAACTAAGTGTTAAGCCCATTGATTTGTCTGACCCAACAAGCCCATGTTGCTAGCAACATTCAGACTAAGTCCAGTCCTGCATTTGCCCACACGAACCATTACTTGTCTTTGAGTCTTTTGGGATTGCCACTACCACATTATTACTTTGACTTAAGCATGCCTCCCTCATGCCTAACTTGGACGGTTGACATAGGTGCAATGTGCCACCGCATGCCAACCCAAGTGTCCAAGTCCTAAGGTGCTAACAAACCACCTCTAACAGAAGAAGTTGATGTCCTTGTCAGTAAGGCCTCTAAGTACTCAGCAATCTGTTTATCAAACTACCATAGAGTCACATCATTTTCCTAACTCACATCAGAATCTGAAGAACCCTTCCACTTGACCAAGTAATGAGTTCTTCGGTTTTTTCTTGCTCTGCCCCTCTATTTTATGATTTAGAATTTGTTCCACCTTTTTGTCAAACTGTTTTATAATCATTAGAGAAGCCCATCAAGCTTGCATTAATGCTAGATTAACTTGATCCTCATGGAAGGTTTTAAGAAACTAACATGAAAATTTGGTTGTATCTTCAATCGGTCAGGCAATTGTAGCTTATAAGCAACATTTCCCATAAGTTTCAAAATTTCAAAGAGTC